AAGAAGCAAAGTCCCTTGTAAATCAGCAGCACAGAAGTTAATCTGTGATACCGGAAACAGACATCACTGCTTGCTTTCACTGTAAAAATATATTATTATCTTATTCTTATAGAAGGCAAAAAATTGTCTTCTTTTTTTCAAATGTATAGAGGTCTCTTCTGTAACATTTTTAAAATTACATTAACAGTTGCCGCATATTATCCTATCATCTTGTTACTTGATTTATTTTATTAGACTAAATGTATTAATTTTAGTACACATTAGTGCTTACTTTGCACGGAAACATTTCTAAATATCTAACTAGAGACAAAGTTCAGGAAGAGTGATGATGTGTGAGTTTAGTCATCTGCTTTGAGAAGAAACAAAAAAATAATGAAAAAAGGCAGGCAATTATCTTATGAAAACAACTAAGACGTATCAGTATTATAAAAATAGCTTTGAACAAGCTATCTCAAAATATGAAATCACAGGATTACTTGTAGGAGACTTTACTTGCCTGGAAAAAAATACAATAAAAATGTTATTTTAGGATTTACATGTAACTTCCCTGCCCACAGAGTAACAATATATAAATGTGTAGCAGTTTATTATTTCAATGTCATCATGAGAAAAATACCTGAAAACATGATACTGCACAGATGTGTGGTTGTACAGATTAACCACAAAGATTCAGAATGAAACTGTAAGCATGATAATGCAAGTGAAGATGGAGGAGGACAGATTGTAAAAGCCACTATAACTCCAACCAGCAAAAGAAAAATATCTGCAAAAGATAATTGAAAATACCTGTGAAATCATACAAGTCCTTGGGAGATTGCTAAGATTTTGTATCGGAAACACACAAAGATGAATGATGATTAAACAGAATTCAGGACAACATCCTCAGCTGTGCTAGGTGTGGTATAACTCAGAAAAGGGTAGCCTGGAGCCACCCTTCCTTTCTCTGGTCCTGAGCTAAACACATCTCCACAGTGTAGGAAGGAGCATCACAGAGAGGATTTGTGGCAAGCAGCAAGATCCCTTGCTCCTGCGACAGAGCAGCCTGGTTGTTGAAAGAAGTAATACAACTCCTTATAATGCCTCAATTGGAGGAAGTATTTGTGAAAATCTTCCACTGGAACTTTTCCACTACCTAGAAAGAAGGAACTTTGTTATCAGGAAACCCCAAACTTAACCTCTGCAGGACCCCAAAGATATATGAAGTATCGGAACCACTTACAGAGCTTCAGCATCCTGCATCAGCTCTGCTCCTGATCTGTAATCACAGACTGTCCTCCCAGAATAACATGGAGCTGGAATGGAGAAAGTGCTCTTCTCTATACAGCCCTTTCCCTGTACTAACCTCTCTTCAAAATCCTCTAATATATATGTTTCCTAGCATGTGTGCAAAATCCAGAAGGCATGGGCAGCTGTGTAGAAAAGGCTTACTGAACATGTTTGCTGTGGAAGGGGAAGACAACAACAGAGGAGCACCCATTTCATTCTCAGATGTCATACAGGCAATCTGGGCAAGAGAAAGGAAAGAGCAAAACACAAAGCTCTGGATGAAATCCTCTGCTCATATTGCTGGTTAAAAAATAAGGGGGAACACAGACATAAGAAAGAAATACAGAAGAAAAAATCAACAAATAAAGAGATAACAAGTTAGATGACCTCCAAGGAGAGGCAGCACTAGAAGCCAGGTTAGTGCTATTTTGGGAAGCATAAAGGATTTCACCATACCTTGCCTAGAAGGTCATAGTTTCTCTTCATAAGAACACAGAGGCTGAAAGCAATGGCTATTACATGTCTAGTATATATTTTTTCTTAAGGAGTTAAGCAGGGATGATTTTCCCTAGGGTATCTTTTAAGTTCATTCTTGCCAACTTGTATAACAAATCCAGAGAAGAAAAGGCATGTTCTTCTTTAAATACTGCTGTATTTTATCTATGAAAAAAATCTGGGAAAATGCCTATATATCTTGGCCAAATGGTTGACAGGAAAATACAATTATGTGAATGTATCTGAATGATGTAAGCTAGAAAAAAGGGAGAAGAACAAATGGACACATTGTCTGAGATAGCTATATTACATATAAGAAAAGTCAACCAAAATAAAAGATAAATCCCAATACCAGAGGAAGCAATTGCAAAAAAAATTTGAAGTGGTAAAAGCCACATTTCGCAAGTCATTTAAACTCTAACACACCAATCACTTTATAAAGCCTTTAGATGGAGAAGACAAAGTAGGGCAAGGAGACACATTACTTCATCTTGTTGATCTTTCACATTTTTCTGTGTCTATCACCCAGCCCTACAGCAACCAACAGTCAGCCACAGATGGGAAAGCAAAAGCCTGCATCACCTGTAAGCCATCTATTACCTATACCACAAAAGCATCTTGTATCATTTGTGTTAGGTATGACATTCCCATTCTTCCTCTACACATGTGCTGATCATTTTTTCTCCTATATCTTCATCTTGGTTCTTTCTAATTTTTGTCCTGTGTTCTCCTTTATTTTAAACAGAAGTTGAATTAAATGGGTCCATTGTTCAACCAAAGAACTGTAACTTTTGGTCTCAGAATAAGAATATATACCAAAATGCAAGGCATTGCCCACTTAGTAGTCTGAAAACATGCATATTTAAAAATATTTTTAAATATAAAAATAAAAGAATCTTTCATGAGCTATGGCATAACTTTCAGGAGCCAAAACTACCCTTTTCTCACGTATCATGATTCTTCCTGGACTATTTCGTACCTTCTCACAGGGCTATCTAGACCTGGACTGTCTCTCTCTTCTTCCTCCCTTCACAGTGCTGAAATTGTCTCCATTCATCACCTTTTGACACCTTAATATACATGGTTTCAATTTCATAGTTTCAAATTACTTTCACTTAGCAGCAGTGTGGAAGAAATCCCATCATTGGTTAAGATAAATGTCACTGTTGTTCTTTTTTCTGGATGGTGCCTGAACATTTGTCATAACCACTCAAATAACCAACTCATCTTCCAGACCACAGAACGCAACCTCAGAAGAAAACGGTCCTCACTCCTGTTTACTTCTTTCTTTTGCCTTTACTGTTATTATACAGGATTGTCCTACCTTCCAATAGTGTTTCCATTCAGAAGAAAAAAAGTGTCCATAAAGATATCCTTCTTTAGAAATCCTGTGCTTCCTTAATACAGCCAATTTATAAGAACCGAGTTTGCTGTCAAAAAGATCTGTCTTCAGATTTCCTACATGGCCTATTTTTTTGATCTTGCAGCAGCTCTGCAAATTCTTTTTCTCTGTCATATAAGTTGCAATAAATCATTCCCATTGTGATTGCTGGTGTTAGCATGTTGAAGGAAGCAATGCACGTACCACAGCGTTAACCACAGCGAGTACTGTGGTTGATAATGGCAGTGCTTGCAAAGATGAATCAACAGCAGGGAAAGCAGTTCCAGAAAAAGAGACTCCCCAAAAAAACCCCAAAACAAAACCAAAAGAAACTCACTCCACCAGAAAGAACATCCAGGGAAGATATGGGAGTGTAACTGGGAATGTATGTTTTGTAACATACTGTAATTTGAATATGTAGCTCACTGTATGGTCTTGCCCTCAGGAATCATGATCTGAAAATACTTTATTGAATAATGGGATACTCAAGTTTTTCAATGAAAATTTATGGTTTTGTTCATTTTTCTCACTGCTTCAAATGATGGTTACACACCTTCCTGTAAAACAGTTTTTCACACATCAGAAGTTCATATGAATCTTTGTGGAATTCTATATTTCACATTTTCTTAGCCCTTGCCCCACTAGACTAAATGATTGCCTGGGGAAGGACTATCTTTATTTGTGCTTTCCTACAATCTACTATTCCGGGCCCCCAAATTCAGTGGGGGACATTCCTGTGGACACGTTCTTACAAATCATGTCCATCACCCCTCACTGAGAGAAAAGGCAAGAAACATACCACCATAACACACAGGACAGAACAAAACAGAACAGTGCTCCAAGACAGGAATGAGTCCCTTGAACTGCTTCCCACCCTATGTGAAGGTAAAGAGGGCCACTCTTTTGTCTTTTCTTGTAGCTAGGGAGGGGCTGAAATACTCCAGCTATGCCATCAAGTATCGTATGGGGAGGCAGAAGGAGATTTTGCCAATTGACTGGCTGGCTTGCTACATTTTAAGAGCTTTATGAATTGTTAAAAGTCTCTTCCCCTCAGAATGCCTCTGGGTGAACAGAACACAGCGCTGGCAGCAGCACGCAACCCTCCTATTTTGGTATTCTAGTTGAATACGAGATGGGCCTGGAAAAGAGATGACAAGCACAATGGCTTTTGAGAAAGAAGTCACCTTTCCAGCTTCTTAAGGGTCACGGCTCAAACAAGTGGAGGGCCAGTCCACAACCATTCTCCCAGTCAGCCAGTAAGCTGGAAAATATTAGTGTTCTTCACAAGCAAAGGGCTCAGTTACTACAGTGGTCCTTTTGCTACTTCCTTCATTTTCACATCTTCTGTAAAGAATAAGGTATGAACTATATTAACCACAAGCAAGGTTTTTTTTTTCCTAAGCCCCAGCATAACAAGCCAACGAATACCTGTTGGTCACCTTTTGTCTCAGTAGCAGAGAGCTACTCCAACCCTTGCCTTCATTCAGGAAATGGTAGATAGGAAGAGAGAGAAATCAAAATAAACACTATAACCTGATGTTTAAAGCTGTTAAGTTTTCTTAAGAATACCCAATGCAAGAATACCTGGAGTACCTTAAATTTCAAAAGGATGTTAGGGTATTCCGAGAGGGGGAAATTTTAGAACACCGTGCACGTCTGAAAGTTAAACAAATCAGAGCTACCCACAAATGAACAATATGGTTTTCCCCTTGGTGGACTCTACCCCTGTGTCCCTAAATGTTAAGAGTCAAAGAGTCACTATCAGCCAGGCACCTATCCTGTCACTGTACATTCACATTAAAAACCCCCTCTTTCCAGTGTACGTTACTCATAAATGTGCTCAATCAGACTGATTTTCTGCCCCTTTATGTTCTACGGTGAATTAGGAAAGGGCCTGTTAAAGGACGATACAGGCCATTCTTTTGTGATGGTCTGCAGTTTTCTCTCCCAATACATTTTCTTTTTATTTAGCACTTCCATTTTTATCCTGTGTTCCTCTTCAGCCATCTCACACTCTCTTTCTATTTGCTGTATTTTTGCCACATGGACTTCATTCATTTGGATTAATTGCAGTTGCAAAATTGACATTTGCTGATGATGTTCTTCCTCATGCATCTTTTTCAGAGCACTTTCCTGAGATGCTTTACTTCTGTAGTTTTTATCTGCTGCTATTCTGACATCAGAACACGAAGGCTCAGGTTGGGAGGTACCTTCACATACTGGGAAATGTACCAGCTCTTTCTCTTCATCACAGAGTTCTCTACTGGAGACAACAAATGACTCTGCAAAACATAAGAGGAAAAAGTATTACAGTATTCTGTTCTTCTCCCTCAAGAAACACAAACTTGTGATAATATAGGGATTGATAATATAGGGATTGCACTTCTCTACAATAGGTAGTGCAGGAGCCACTATGAAATGCAGTTCTGTTACAGAATACTAAGGGCATAATGGTCTGAACTGAACCACTTTGGGCTCTGTTGATAAGACCTCCACGGCCATAACAGGAGCTCAGAATACTAAAGTGAATGTAGTAATTTACAAGTGGACACCTAAATGTAGGTGGCTGATCCTGGAGCTGAACCTTAATGCAGCTGTTTAAGCCAAGTCTGTATGTGATTTGCAATATTTTAATTAAAGATATGAGTGTTGGGTGAAGAGCTGTATCAACATGAATACCAAGAGACTGAAGGAATACTGAGAAGAATACTACTTATTCCTTCCTTATTGCTGCTGTACATGCTGTAAGTGCAGTGGTGTGGTTTTTTAGGAAAAAAAATACATTATTCTAACTTTGAAAAGGTTCTACCAATTCTTCTGAAATAAAAGAAACTACTCATGGAATAAAAGTTATAATAATAGTTGCCACTGCAAAGAAGGGTCTCAAAATACATTCCTTTACAAATCCTGATGAGTACTTATGGTAAATACAATTATGAAAGAGACATTGTAAGAATGTTATCTAGCAATACTGTTGTCTTTGAGCAAGGACAGTCTTCTATGTGTGATCCTGACATAATAAAGTTTGCAAGAAACCGCTCTAGCCACCCTCCCTTTTGGTTTTGGGTTATTCCTTCTGTGTATGCTTGCCAAACAAACAAGAACGAAGTGCCAAACTTTTTCAGAAAGGCCATTCTCCAATGCGGATTGCAAAGTGAAATATGGCTCTACATACTCTTTTTAGTCCTTGAAAACAAAGGAGGAAAGACCTACAGGGAACTCTTGCAGCAGACATTGTATATCAGTTTGCTGCTGGTGTCTGGTTTTTTTTAAATGCTCAGACAACTTTCTCCCAACAAAATGATATTTTCTAAAGGATCAAAGTATCCTTGTGAATGTTCTCTGGAAAGCCGGCATGATAGCTACTCTGATGCTTGCCACAAAGTAACAGATACGTCAGAAACTGATGAAAAAAAATTGAGTAAAACCTCAGTTTAACTCCTGGGGGCCTAGGGAAATACATGGAGTCTTGTAATATCATAGCTCTGAAATGACTTTTCTATAACCAGCAGTCACAGCTAAGTGGAGAGATTTAGACTGCTGAAAGAGAATCACTGTCAAAATCACATACAAAACAATACTACTTGTATCAATCATTACAGTAACATTTATACCTTGACTAGAAGCATCAGGCTGATATTCAGAATCTTCTTCTGGTGGGGTCTGCAAAAAGTACATTTGCTCAGGCATTATGCTGGCAATCTTCTCTAAAAAAGTGAGTATTTATAAGTGGACTAATACTTCTCTTTACCTTCTCCCGCCTTTCATGTGCCATTATCTTTTTTGTCCGTGCCTTGATATTTTCCCAGCATTTCTTTAACTGTTTGAAGTCTCGCAGCGATACACTGGGCTGTGAATTATATTCATGAGCTAGTGCTTGCCAGGTACGTTGTTTCAGAGCAATAGTTCTTGCATCACTTTTTTTACATTCAAGCACGTATTTGTATTTTTCAACTAATGCAAGCAGCACACTCTTCTCCACTTCTGAGAAGTATTTAGCAGGCTTTATTATTTCGTTTTGCATTTTCTACTGTTTCTCCAAGAAGGCAAAAATCCTATGAAAACAATGTTGAAAGCAAAAAAACAAACACAAATTAGAACTGGTTACAGTATCAAGAAACTCTGTTTCAGCAAATAACTCCTAAGCATAGCTTCTGAATCTAACACACTTCATTTTCTAGAACAGCTTGTGAATGGTTCTAGAGCACATAATGAAATACCAGGTAAGACATAGCATAATTACATGCTGTTTTCTACTGCCATTTTAATGGCTACACAGTTACAGAAGTATAACATAATGAAGAGAAGCTTTTCCTTTGGTACACAAAATACCCTCTTCTGACTTTGCTAACTGCATATAACTAATTTCTCCCCTCTCTCTATAACATTCGAAAGTTGTATGAGAAATGAGAGTAAGAAGTTATTTTTTTAAAGACTTCTTTAGGTTTGGTTCTCCCTTACGCTCAGCTCTCCTTCACTGACAACCAATAGGCAGTAGGATCCTGACCAGTGTTACAATACTGAGAAGAGGCAAGGGTTGCAAGAAGACATTAATTAATTACGGAAACTAACTGCTCTGAAGGTACAGGTCCTTCGCCCTTTACCTGCTGACTCTGCGTGTGTGGCACTCGTCCTTACACCTGCATGGCTGGTCACTCTCAGGAGAGAATGACCAGGCTGAAAAGAGTTTTGGCCTCATTCAAGATGGCTACAGCTATATACTCACACTATGTTAATGACTGCCTCTCTTCTCAAGCCTTGGACTTACGTACACAACAGGAAAAGGGTAGCTGATACCAGGGAATTATTTGCCATTAAAAAAATTAATAGTGTTTCCTTCAATTATTAACATGTTTTTGCTGCAAAATGTACTTTTATCTTTCTACTCTCCCCATTCCCTCCCACTACAACTGCATAGCCCCAATTGCTTTTATGTTTTGGGCAGAAATTTGCAGATAATCAAGTAGAAAAAGGGGGACCAACGCTACCTTAGCTCATATTTCTTCTGGTTTTAATCATAAAACTCAGAGATGGAACATACATAAGATAACTAGCAGTCTAGGATGCTCCCAAAACTAATTTTCTAGTATTTTGCCTATTGTTTCCCCTACTTTCTTCATAACCTTCCTTGAGGATGCAACAGATGTCACCATCAGATTTTCTCTTTTCAATATTTTTCCCCTTCATTGCACTAGCACTCTCTTTGTACCATCCTTGTAACTCCTTTCCTCCAAATGTCTTAATACTTACAGATTTTCTCACCTCTTTTGGTGCAGGTAACCACTTATATTTACAAAGAAAGCTAACAGACAAGCTAATATCAAAATGAGAACCCAACTCTGACATAAGAACAGAAGCTTTCTCAAGTAGCCCATAAAATATGACAAAGCCCAGCAAAACAAAGACAGGGAGTCAAAGAATAGAGGAGGCAGTAGAACAAAGCCTAGAATAGCAAAACTGAAACAAAGCGAATAGAAATAAGCAATAGTGTGACTTTAAGTATATTAAGTCAGCACCAGTAGCTAAGTTGTACCCCTACTGAAAAAGAGGCAACAAACACTCAGTTTGTACTTTGTGTCACTGCTCAACTGGGTAATCACAGGGCATGAATTGACTGGACAGCCGGCACCTACATGGTTCCTGGCTAGTCACAGTTCTGCTGTCTCGTCAACAAAGCCAAATGCAAGGTTCTGCACATGGGTCAGGGCAATCCCAAGCACAAATACAGGCTGGGAGGAGAATGGCTTGAGAGCAGCCCTGAAGAGAAGGACTTCGGGGTGCTGGCTGATGAGAATCTGAACAGGAGCCAGCAGTGTGCACTTGCAGCCCAGAGAGCCAACTGCATCCTGGGCTACATCAAAAGAAGCATGACCAGCAGGTCAAGGAAGGTAATTCTCCCCCTCTATTCTGCTCTCATAAGACCCCATCTGGAGTACTGCATCCAGCTCTGGAGTCCTCAGCACAGGAAAGACATGGACCTGCCTACTGGAGTGGGTCCAGAGGAGGGCCACAAAGATGATCAGAGGGCTGCAGCACCTCCCATATGAGGACAGGCTGAGAGAGTTGGGGTTGGTTAGCCTGGAGAAGAGAAGGCTCCGAGAAGACATTATAGCAGCCTTCCAGTACCCGAAGGGGGACTGCAGGAGAGATGGGGAGGCACTCTTAATCAGGGAGCATGGGGATAGGATGAGGGGTAATGGCTTTAAGCTGAAAGAGGGTAGATTTAGATCAGATATTAGGAAATTTTTTACTGTGAGGGTGGTGAGGCACTGGAACAGGTTGCCCAGGGAAGTTGTGGATGCCCCATCCCTGGAAGTGTTCAAGGCCAGGCTGGATGAAGCTTTGAACAACCTGGTCTAGTGGAACATATCCTTGTCCACAGCAGGGGACTTGGACCTACATCATCTTTAAGGTCCCTTTCAACCCAAACCATTCTATGACTCTATGACTAAAGCTCATTTTCAATTAGGTGAACAGAAAGCACTCTGAGATATCAGAGAACTTAGAATACTGAGAAGTTGCAGCAAAACACCACCATATATTTATATTCACCTCTTTTTCTCTATGCATATCAATCACCTTCCAGCAGCCCACTGGCTCCTTTGCAGAATACGAGAAAGGACTCTCACAAGTCCAAACAACTTCCATTTCGAGGCTAAAAGATCCTTTCAGGACATATGCCCAGGATATATCTAGCACGTGCTGAAATGGAAGTAGTTTACTGTGTGTAGCTCATATAGTAAACAGGATTTATTTGTGAATGTGTGGGCACATGAGCACAGTTGCACAGTAAATTCTAAGAAACAAAGAACGGAAGGTTTATCCTACTCTTACAGGTGCCCAGGCTCTAAAATGTGCAGTAAGGAAGTACGTTTATCCTAAACATCTTCTCCTGGCACAGCCCAATTCACAACTTGCCTTAAAACAAATCAGTGTCCTAAGTACTTGTCCTTTTACACAAAACTTTATCGCTTTAAAATAACAACAATATCTCTCGCATCCTCATTTTTACTTTAAGATGTTGTGTGGCATTCTTCTTTTAAAGACTATAAGGGATGTGCAGTGATCTGCTGGAAGAAT